GCCCCCCGGAGCCTTCTGTTCTCCAGCCTGAACAACCCCAACTCTCTCAGCCTGTCTCCATAGCAGAGGTGCTCCAGCCCTCTGATCATCTTTGTGGCCTCCTCTGGACTCACTCCAACAGCTTCCTCAGGCCCCTTTCCTCCAGGGCTTTGTCCCATGGTACTCTACCAAGCAGATCCCTGAAGAGGCCGAACTCTGCTCTCCTGAAGTCCAGTGCAGTGAGCTTGCTGTGCACCTTCCTTGCTGCCCTGAGGATCTTGAACTCCACCATTTCATTTTCACGGCAGCCAAGGCTGCCCTTGAGCTTCACATTCCCCACCAGCCCCTCCTTGTTGGTAAGAACAAGGGGCAGCATGGCACCTCTCCTCCTTGGCTCCTCTGTCACTTGGAGAAGAAAGTTATCATTGAGGCATTCCAGAAAACTCCTGGATTGCTTACGTCCTGATGTATTGTCCCTCCAACAGGTATCGGGGTGGTTGAGGTCCCCCATTTGTCTACAGAGGGCCTCATGTGCTCGGTCTTGCTGGTTAGATGGCCTGTAGCAGACCCCCACTATAATGTCCCCCGTCCCTGCCCTCCCTTTAAGCTCTTGGTCAGCTCCTCACCCATCCCCAGGCAGTGCTCCGTGCCCTCCAGCTGGTCAGTGACCTAGAGGTGACAACCCCTCCTCATGTCCGCTGCCTGTCCTTCCTAAAGAGCCTGTACCCTTCCCTCCCAACACTCCATAGGAGCCATCCCACCACGTCTCCGTGATGCCAGTGAGGTCACAGCCCTGCAGGTGTGCGTCTCCAGCTCCTCTTGTTTGTTCCCCATGTTTGCTCCCCAGGCAGGTGGTCTTTGGAAAGCCTGCACTCTCCCAGTCATTACCTCAGGTTCTCATGGTGCCTCATTTTCAACACTTTAATGCTGAAACCACTCTACAGTTGCCATTATCTTTCCTGCCCAATGCAAGACCTCGCCTTACAGAAGGGAATACTTCATAAGCAGCAGCCAGAGTAAATTAACTCCGCTCTCTGCTAATGAAGCAGGTAAACATACAGACTATACCATGCACAACACAGCATTTAGTTTCTTTGAGACAAAGTGAACAACGCATCTATTTTACAGGGACTGTCAAAACCCATTACATTAGACATTACATTAGATCAGTCCAATATTAGCAGCTGGACAGCTCAGACACTATACTTTTGTGGAGTCAGTGATGTTTAACTCTGAGTTGGGATGACAGTTGGGATGTTGTATTTGATTTTGTACCAAAACTTCCATTAGAAATTTTTTAAATGATTGCATGTTACTGATTTTGATAGTGGACCGGAGCTCTCCTAGATTCAGAAGGTAGGATTTTCAGTGTGAGTGCTGTAAAAATATGATAGTGATTGATAACTGATTAATATATATATATGTATAAAAGAAGAAAAATTTTAAAATATAAGGGGCAGAAAGCTAGGAGTAAACATAAGCAACAAACCTCGTGCAAGATGCGTCTTGGATGAAGGCATTATTTCTTGTATTGCAAAATGTAGAGTTTTTAATTCTAAGGTGTGGTCTAGTGTTCAGGTGATGTGAGGGGACACAAAACCTTCTGTGCTCTCTCCTCTCCTTCCCTGACTCCGTTCTCCCCCTGGAAACTCTCTTCTCAGCCTGTCCTTTCTTCTGGTTCCTTTACTGTCGGCAGCTGCTTGAGCTGCCTTGTGCCCCTTCTGCTTTCCTCTGCAGCAGACCTGCCCGTGGATGAATCAGGCCCGGCTCGGAAGGGCAGAGTGGTGTTGGAAGGGTTGTGGGAGGGGGGAGCAGCAAGGCTGGTGAAGGGTCGTGGGAAACAACCACAAGCTCTGCTGGCAGAGACGGGCCGGGCAAATAGTGTCCCCCAGGCCTGTTTGTCACCTGCAGTCTTCTCCGGCTGCCGTTCCAGAGATGGGGGCTAGTTGCACAGGCGGTTGCCCAAGCAGGCAGCAAAAAGCTGTAGCTGTGGAGTGCAGCAGCAGTGCAAGAAGGTAAAATAAGTCAAAAACAGTGGGAGATGATTTGGGGCAAGACAACCTCTGCCCAGTTTGAGAAAGGATAGCTTGGGAAAGACGTTGCTCCTCGCTCCTTCCAGTGGCGCAGAACTTGTCATTTTCTAAAGAATGGGAACCTGCCACGTTTGTACAGAACACTGGTGCAGCAGCACAAACTGCGGGGGTCCCTGTCCAGGGACAGACCCTGGAGCACCGAATGCAACAAGGGCATTGCCGTTAAATTCCCAGGGGGCAGGAGTCGACCCCGGATTATCCCCCTGGTGTAATTACAGAATCCAGGGGAAACAACTACCCATTTTACACAAACAGCTGAGTATTCTTCTTCCCGTGTGTGCATATTTTACAGAGCAATTTACCACCTATTTCTGAATTTTTGAATGTCACTGTCAAGCTTACAGCTATTTCATAAACCCACACCTGAGCTCCCTGCTAGGCAGGTGAGGGAAGGAGGAAGAGTAGGCAGGGCAGGCAGAACTGTCAGAGTTGAAAGCTGGTCATGCATCAACATTTTTGCTTAAATTAGTTATGCCAGATGCCAGAACGGCAGCACCAGAAATGTAGTCAGAGCACAGGTGTGTGATGAGAAGCAGCACAGCAAGATTTCTTCTCGTCACCATGCTGATGTCCCTTCATGGCTTGGGAGAGATAGCTTCTTTAATAATAGCCCTGTAAAACAGCCTTCACACTAACACAGTTCTCAATAAAACTAATGTTTTGATTATTTCTTAATAGCACCAGATGGAGCTTTCTTGGCAGAAGGAACAAGAACACTTGATGTGCAGAAGGCAGCAGAACAAGTGGTACAAGAAGGGCAGATGGTAGGGGAGAGACAGGCACTTGAGAAGGAAGATTTTGTTGCTGAGGGAGGAGATGCTCGCAGCGAAGAGGCAGGAGAAGAAATGGCGCGGGTGGGAGATTTGCTGCCCGGGGAAGAGGCAGTGGCAGTGCTGCAGGCAGAGGGTCAGCTTGCACTGGAGGAATCCGCACCTGAGGAGAGTGCCACGGCAGAAGAAGATCCCAGGGGAAAGGGGACAGGGAAGGAAATGGAGCCTGGCGCAGAGGTGGTACCTGGGGAGCAGGAGGTTCTGATGGAGGGGACGGAGAGCAAGGTAGCACTGGGAGACCAGGCGCCTGGAGAGGAGCCATCAGGGGCACTGCTAGGCAGGGAGGCAGGTGGAGCAGTGTCCGAGGGACAGGAGGTGGCTGGGGAGGTCTCTGAGGGAGAAGAGGCTGCAGAGGAGGCCTCCGAGGAGAAGGAGGGTGTGGGAGTGAAGGAGATGGTAGGTGAGACAGTGTCTGAGGGAGAGGAGGCCATGGAAGAGGGGGGGTCTGCGGGCTGAGGGAGAAGAGGCTGCAGAGGAGGCCTCCGAGGAGAAGGAGGCTGTGGAGGCGACAGGGCCGCCGGTGAAGGAGATGGGAGGTGAGATGGTGTCCGAGGGACAGGAGGTGGCTGGGGAGGTCTCTGAGGGAGAAGAGGCTGCAGAGGAGGCCTCCGAGGAGAAGGAGGCTGTGGGAGCGACAGGGCCGCCGGTGAAGGAGATGGTAGGTGCGATGGTGTCCGAGGGACAGGAAGCGGCTGGGGAGGTCTCTGAGGGAGAAGAGGCGGCAGAGGAGGCCTCCGAGGAGAAGGAGGCTGTGGGAGCGACAGGGCCGCCGGGGAAGGAGATGGTAGGGGAGATGGTGTCCGAGGGACAGGAAGCGGCTGGGGAGGTCTCTGAGGGAGAAGAGGCTGCAGAGGAGGCCTCCGAGGAGAAGGAGGGTGTGGGAGTGAAGGAGATGGTAGGTGAGACAGTGTCTGAGGGAGAGGAGGCCATGGAAGAGGGAGGTTCTGCGGGGAAGGGTGTTATGGCGGGTGCTGTGTCTGAGGGAGAGGAGGCTGTGGAGGATGCGAACTCGGCAGAAGAAGGGATTGCTGTGGTAGTTGGCCCTGAAGCAGAAGAGGCTGTAGAGGAAGCCATTTCTGAAGGGAAGGAGGCTGTGGAGAAGCCTGGAGCTCTCCTGGAAACATTAGGGGATACGAATGTTTGTGCAGGAGAAGCAATGCCTGAAGGAGAAGACTTTGTAAAGGCAAATGAGTTTTCCCAGCTGAAAGCAGCAGGGGAAGAGCG